TGGGACAAGGTGAAGGAGGATCTAGAGAATTGGGAGCCGACGACAAAACAGAAGCGCAAGGTGAGGGAGGAGCAAGCGAATTAGGTGACGGTACTATTACAGAAGGAGTTACCGACAACAAAGGAGTCTCCAATTGAGAGAGAGGACTTTCAAAGCCATACTGATTTAATATTTCTTCAGCAGCAGCCATGTCATGGTCAACTGCATAGAAATCTTCTTCAGTTTTAAAAATTGAGCCCTCACAGCACTATACATTTTAGAAAAGTTTATCTGTTTTTCCAAGCAAATCGGACAAGACCAGCGTACGCCTCCACTACCAGCTTTAGTAGTAGACATAATCTTGTCATATTCACGCCCAGTAAGACCTGCACACTTAGTATGCATCATGTTATCACACAGCCAGCAACTTATAAATTGCGCTTGTGCAGAATCAACTGTTTGCCTGAAAGTGCAAGCTTTTTTGCAGCAACTCATATTGGCAATTGGGATAGATCACAAAATTACTGAATGTAAACAGAAATGTAAAAACCTAGAGAGGTATAAATGTGTTGAGAGCGAGTCCAACAACAAACAGCCGTTACAGAGCGCAACGAAAATATATGTTGAGAGAGCGAGTCAACAACAAAAACAGCCGTTACAGAGCAGATCAAAAGTCCACAGCGAGAGAGTATACTTGCACAGCACAAAAATCAAAGATTCAAGAGAGGCAAATACAACAACAGTAGATAGTGAGAGCAAATTATGCTCACACTCACACAAACTTAGAAAGAGTGAACTGGGGAGAGCGCCAACAAATAGAAATACTAAAGCAAAAATGCAAATAATGAAAATATAACAAGTAAGAAAGCTCTAGTCGAGACTACTCGACTACGAGATCCCCTGAACCCTTGGAGTAATAGCTATTTCAATAATTTTTCGCGTCTTTCAGCTTACACAAGAAACACGCACACACACACACACACACACGCACGCACGCACACAGACATACATACACACACATACATACACACACACACACACATACACAAACAATTACATACATATACACACACAAGCATAAACACTCATGGGCGGCAGTGAGCGGCTACTATGAGAACTTAATTGCTTAATACCTTTTTTGTGGACGTACGATCTTCATGAAACTTTCAGATTATGATTATGGCATGGATATGCATGTAATTGCCAAAGCACAAGTCTCTAGTATTTGAAATACGCTTTTTACAAAAGTGAGGGTGAGGGGGTGAATTTAAGGGTGGGGGTAAATTTTAACAAAAACCGAAATTGTATAAATTGCATATAGGCATACATTAAAAATTTGGAGACTCTAGCAATAAAGGTGTAGAAGATATAATTTTATAACTGGTTTTCGATAAGGTTTTTTATCGATAAAAAAGATCGGGATGAGTTATCGATTTTTAATGATAAACTTGATATGAGCGCTGTAATTACGAACATTTTAAAAAAAAATTTGAAGTCTCTAGCTCTTATATCTTCTGAAATCGACGCGTTCATACATACGGACAGACGGACAGACGGACAGAGGGACGGACGGACAGACGGACAGACAGACGGACAGGGCCAGGGGTTCAGGGTATAAAAATAAAAATATTTGCTATGTACAACCGAACCGCAATTATGTGAAATTTAATAAGAATATTTAACTAAGAAAACAAGAATAATTGAGAACTCTCTATATGATTATGTTCTCAAAGTTTCATTAAGATTGTACGTCTAGAAATTAAATTATTCAACAAATAAATTCCTATAATGTTGCCCACAAATAAATTCCTATAATGTTGCACACCAAGTGCAGTCGCTGTTTACTGCGCAGTTAGCAGAGCGCAGGCTTATGCGTGCGTGTGGATGCATGTGTATGTATGTGTGCATAAAAGAAGTGCAGAATGATTAGAATATCAGCTTAGAGGGTTCAGGGTATCTCTAAGTCGAGCAGTTTCGACTAGAGTCTTCTTACTTGTTTAAGTAATTTTTGGTGTCCTCATTAATAATAGCCATTAGTTGATCATAGTTTTCGGTAAATTATGGGCAAAGAACGTGATTAAGTGAAATCTTTAAAAAATCAATCGGTCACGAAGGATAATGCAGGTATTTCCGTGGAAAAGCTCACAAGCTTATAAAATGCACCTCTATGATTAATTTACTACCAAATTAACAAAAAATAGAAAACTGATTCACTCAAAAAAAAGGCCAGATCGGGAAAATCATTCAAAAAACGTGTAGAAGGCCGCATTATGTCGACAAATCTTAAAGAAAATGTGCGGATTTTCCTAAAAGTCATGTCGATCAAAGTAAAAAATAATCATAAATTATCAGTAAGCAGAAAAACTATCACAAGTCGGCGAAAGAAGGCCACGTTTTCTACTTAGCTATCGAGATGTTTCGAATAGCTTTAAAGTATTAAACAATTGAATTTACTTAACGATTAGTTTATTAGTGACTAGCTGGCCCGGCAAACGTTGCATTGCCCTATCCATTATTTCTAGGTAAAAAATTGGTGAAAGCTATGTTGTTCAGGTTAGGATACACTCTGATTAATTTATTTATCGGATTTTCATTCAAGCACCTTGTGGTAAACGACATTCGTTTTTTGGTCAGGTGCAAGAACAAATAATGCGGATGGTTTGCCAACACGTGAGCATGCCACGTACAATTGACCATGAGAAAAACACGCATTTTCTAGATTGAGGACACAAATAGTCAAAGATTAGCCCTGTGATTTGTTGATCGTAAAAATTGTATTTTAGAACCCCTAATAGGTTTTCGACTCTTACAGCTACTCTCTACTAAATTAAGAGTGATAGCTTTTTTTAGTGTACCAAAAGCAAACAGAATGAAATGTATATAAAGTTAAAATGAAAACAATGATTGATTTTACCATTCAATGGATTAATCATTTGATATTAAAGTGGTATCCATCGTCTCCTTGCCAAAACATCAGCGGGTATTGTAAAGCGTCATATGAACGGTGCGTTTCAGATATTCTTTGTAGTTGCCCAGTACTGCGTCGTGTAAGCACAATATCGCGTGCTTCCAAGCTTTGACCAACAATCAGGATTGCGACTTCATCGATTATTGGAGCATTAAATGTGCGTTAATGTGTTCCAGCTGGTGTTTTATCTGCTCTGATTACTACTTTATAGTCATCTCTTGGCATGCGCTCTAAAGCAGTCTTGAACAGCTTGACCAATGCATGATGTTCGTGAAGCATTTGCTGCAAATCTTGGAGAATTGCTCTTTTCATAGCTGTGTTGATTTCTTGACACCGGTCAAGTTGTTCTTCCATATTGCCCATGAAGTATATTTGCAAGAATTTGTGCTGTGCATCTTCATTAGGTTGCAATGATCCAATGCGATGGCAAATCTGGCCTTGAATCTTTAAATTAAAAGCGATATTTATAGTTATATTTACAAACACTTTTTACAGAAATCTAACAAACTACATTATTCCATTTTTTACATCATAGAAAATAAAATTTTTAACGTAATAAATAAAATTTTAAATGTCGGATTATATCCGTCTCCAATAATTTATGCCCCAAATGAAGTCATTTGGAAACAGGCTTTTTTTTTTTTTTTTTTTTTTTTTTGAGTGTTCGCTAGAAAATGTTGTGATTCTAGTGTTTCGCCATAGAACAGACTGTGGTGGCGGGACCACTAATGGCAATGTCACTTTACCACTAAGGCAGCACAAACCGGGCGTTTCACCAGCAAACTTTAATGCGCCACAATGCTGGCAAACAACGTCCATTGAACCAATGCAAACTTAACGATTCAAGCTGTAGTCAATGATGCAATCATATCGGAACGCTGCTCGATTCAAATCAATCCTTGAACCATTTCTTATTACCGTTTCACGGGCTGCCTCTCTTTGAGAAGCACGAATTAAGGCCCTTCTTTGCTGGGTACTAACGCGGCGCCTTTCTCGGGCGATTTCCCGTTCTCAGATAATTGACTCGCGATATTCCGATGCCTAATTGCATCCTGGGGTCCGCCGGGAAAGATCAAATCTTCTAGGACGTGGCATTTTTATCAATAGTAACACTGAATATGCCCTCGCACAAAACCACATAAAACAATCGAGAAATATAAATACCAATAATTTACACAAATTTATGTTTGAGACAAACAAATACCTGAACTTTCGAGATATTTAGTTTTTGTACGCACGCGTATTATTTTTATCAAATGTGTTTTTTTTTTTTACGAATAGTCAGGTTCGCCTGAGCTGTGCCGTAGACTGACTGACTACATTTGTTTATTTACTTCTATACTATTGTATAATATGAGAGCAGGACCGAAAACTGACACTGTTATCAAGCCTACTGAGTATAAATGGAAATTTGAATCTTTAGGGAAAAAGTATTCGTAAAATTTTTTCAGTATTTTTAAGATCTACTATCCTACTCGTAGCGGAGACAAATCCAACAAATCAAAAACCATGAAAATTGGTACAGCACATATCAAGTTATATGTCTCGGTACATTTTTACACAACTCTCTTTTATATATAGAAGATTATTAGAGTTTACAGAGTTTATGTGATAGACGCTAGTAAGCGACTAGGCTGTCGTGCTGTCCGCTACTATGTATGTAATAGTCAATCTAACACTGTATCTGCTCTAAACAAGAGTTAATTGCATACTAAATTCAATGTACGCGAGCCGGCTGATTAAGCTGAGCCGCTGCGTGGGAGAAAGAGACAACGCAAGAGGGAGAGCGTGATATCCGTTACAAATTCTCTTAAATGCTAACATTCTATGAACTGCCGATCTTAATTACAATGAAGCGATTGTTGCTGAGCCCAACATCCTCCCTTGAAGACTTAGTCTTCAACAGAATCCTTAAGGGGCAGCAAGTACAGCTTATTTGTAGCTCTTCTAATCTCGCCAGCTTCAGTTTTTAGTACGGCTACCTGTGCAACGCCATCACCTCCGAGAAAAGGTCGATTATTCTGGCTAGTGGCCACTTAAGTCGAGGTAGATTCTAATCCTTCACAAGAACTATGTTGCCAACAGCCAAAACAGGTTTGGAGGTTCTCCATTTCGCTCGCTGATGTAACAATTTGAGATATTCGTCCCGCCAACGAGTCCAGAAAACCTGCTGCAGATAGCTTACGTGCTGCCAAGCATCCAAACGATTAAAATTGAGCCCTGTCAGGCTGGGCTCACTGAAGGATGAAGGAGGGCCACCGTTGAGGAAATGTGCAGGGGTCAATACGTCTATGTCTGATGGGTGCTCTGAAATCGAAACTAAAGGGCGTGAATTAACGACAGCAGCGATGTTGCAAACCAGTGTGCGAAGCTCATCGTAAGTTAGGACGGAGGGCCCAACACATCGGTAGATGTCTTCGCTGTCTTCACTGCAGCCTCCCACACCACCAAAGTGAGGCGATCGTGGAGGGATGAAATGCCATTCAATTGAGTCTGCCAAACAGAAATCCTTCACAGCCTTCTGGTGGGTGTCTGACAAAAATAGACGCTTCAACTCCTGAAACTGGTTGCATTTCACAGGCGCCTTGTTTCGTGCCGCAGGTTTATAAAAGAACGGTCCGCAAAAGTCGACTCCAGTCACTCCAAAGACCCGATAGCCGTCGGGTCGATCCTTGGGTAGATCTGCCATTATGTGCTCAACAAGTCGAGGCCTTGCACGAAAACGAATTACGCATCTCTGAATTACACTGGCTACAGTTTTTCTACCTCCAATTGGCCAATACTGGGACCGAACCAACGCTAGCACTGCTCGGGGACCAGCGTGCAAGTTTCGCTGATGGAAATGCATTATGATGGCTTTAGTTACTGGATGAAGTTTGGGCAAAATAATTGGATGGCGACTATCGAAGTTTAAAGTTGAGTTTTTGAGACGACCATCTACAGGTAGCAGCCCAATTTCATCAAGGAACGGTGACAGCGAGGCTAGACAGCTGGATGACGGAACCATTCCTTTATTTCGATGCGCCTTTATGTCGTCCGAAAGATGTGTTCGTTGAATCTTAACAGTATATGCGTGCCGTTCCGGATGTCTGCTAGGGTTACTCCTGGACCATGACTTTTTTTAATAAACTTTGATACGTATGCAAACGTACGCTGCAAGCGGCGGAAAGAATTCACAAACTTGCAGTCCATAGAGACATCATGGACTGAGTCCTTTACAAGAAGCAAAGTTCTTCGACGCTCAATTGAAGTTCTTTCTGGAAGTGCTGAGACTGGCCACTGAGATCTGGGCTTACAGAGGAAACCTGGACCGTTGAACCAAGCACCCCGAGATAATATATCCGCGGGATTCAGTGTTGTAGGTATATAGTGCCATTCCATTGCAGATGTGAGATCTTGTATCGTGGCGATGCGATTTGAAACAAAAACTTTAAATCGTCCGGGCTCGTCATTGATCCAGGAAAGCGCTACAGTAGAGTCAGACCAACAATGAAACTCGCCTGCAAAAATGCCTAAGCGAGCCACTTCATCCATTAGACGCGCAAGCAACTCTGCCCCGCATACTTCCAGCTTGGGAACCGTGAGCGTTTTCAGAGGCGCAACTCGAGACTTGGAACAAAGTAACCTGCTGATGGTATGCTGACCTCTGGATACAATATAAATACAGGCTCCGTATGCCTCGATGATGGCATCACAGAATGCATGGACTTCAACCTTCGATCCTGGTATTAATGATAGCCTGGGAAATGCACTACTAATACCATTGCTAAAGTTGCTGCAAATGTCTAGCCATGCAGTGTGACATGCAGACGGAAGACTCTCGTCCCAATCAAGTTTATGCCTTCAGAGTTTCTGCAAGAAAATTTTAGCCTTCGCTATTACTGGGCCGACCAGGCCGAGGGGATCGTAAAACCGAGCAATAGACGAGAGAACAGAGCGCCTGGAGGGATTAGAAGCTGAATTCAGGGCCAGATATGAGAAAAGAAGTTGATCAGATGCTGGATCCCATGCAAGGCCATCATTGAACCTAATGAGCGATTCCTTGTCGCAGTCTGTTACGCCGTCCAGTACCATGGCTTGAACACCACTTTCTCAATTTTAACTTTCCACATGCCAAGATTCCAGCTGTCTCTTGCATAACAAGTTTTGCTTCTTCCACTGCTTCCTCCACTAATCAAATCGTCAACATAGAAATCGCGAAGCAGTACGTCGGACCCGACTGGGAATACATTCCTTTCATCCATGGCGCGCACAGACAAGAATGACGCCGGTCATTCCGGCGTATCAAGCCTGAAAATTTCCAACTCATCATCTAGCGAATTCCTCCATAAAATGCATTGCAGATAGCTGTCCGGCTGAGGTACCTTCACGCAACGATAAATTTTGCAAATATCGCCGGTGAGTGCAACTGTATAAGATCTGAAGCGCAATAATATGTCGACCAATTTTGGCTGAATGACGGGACCTAACATTAGAATGTCATTCAACGAATGCCCAGTTGTGGTAGATGCTGATCCATCAAAGACGACGCGATGCTTGGTGGTTGTGCTATCTTCCTTCAGAACGCAGTGATGAGGAAGAAAATATCTGCATAGACGAAATGAATTTAGAGGAACGAGTGACATGTGACCAAGTTCAAGATACTCTTTCAGAAATGCTGAGTATTGAGACTTTATATGCGGCAAACGAATCAATTTCTTCTCCGAATCGAGAAACCTATGTCGCGCTTGCTCATAAGAATCTCTAAGAAGCCCGCAACTAAGCTTAATAGGCAGGCGTACTGTATATTGGCAACTAGCCAATCGATTGTAATGCCTCGCAAAATGCGCTTCGCAGTCTGAGTCTTCCTTGCCGATCCTTACAATGGAATCGCTGCAGTGCTCAACTTCCCAAAAGCGACGAACGAGACTGTCCAACTTGATATCAGCACAGGAGTCTGTAATCGGATCCGAAGGCAACCCAACCAAGACGAGTCTTCTGTAATAATGGAAGTCCAGGCATCAACTTGATTTGTTCCACACAGAGCAAATCATAAAACAGGCTAGCTCCGATAAGCAGATCTACTCGTTGCGGCCTATGGAAATCTGGATCTGCCAGTACAATCTTTTGCGGTATGCTCCAATTGCTCGTATTTATATTAGAACTGGGCTGCCTGCCAGTTATATTTGTTATGCTAGATGTATACTCAGATGCGTGAGCTTGAAGAGTGAGGCAAATGCATGGCAACATTGGAGTCGCCTACGCCGCATACAGATGCAACCGATTTTGTTCTCTCAAGCTGTAAGAGATTCGCAAATCTGGCTGTAATGAGATGTAGTTGAGTACTGTGGCCGGTTATGAGAAATGCTGATCTGCTGGTAGCAACCTTATTGCAAGAATTCATCGGCTTACTTGACGAATAGTTTGTTAGAGCAAATTTCATCGATTCCAAAGTACGGCAACGAAGCTCAAGAAACGAGGAGACTTCTTCATATCTGGGTATCTGAAGAGCCATCTCTGAGTTGTCCAGTTTCTCTTCCCATTTAGCTTGTGAGGCCTCATCAAGCTTCTGTAGCAGTATCTGAGCAATCATGGCACTGGCTATCTGCTCTATTGTGCCCAGACTACTGAGCGCACGCATATGGACATTGAAGCTATGAGCTATCCGACGCTCACGCTGCTTGGTTATGGATCCATTTTCTACCCATTTGAGACCTAAGATCTTTATGATGTGGGCCTGGAAGATTAAACGTCGTTTATCATATCTCTGCTTCAATAAATTTATGGCAATTGTATAATTATCATTAGAAATTTCCAAAGAGCGAACCGTGTCCAACGCTGCGCCATCGAGGCAGGACCGGAGGTGCTGAAGTCTTGCCATATTGCTGATTTCTGGCTGGTTTTCAATGATTGTCGAAAACGTTGAGTAGAAATCAGCCCAATTAGCATATCCACCGCTGAACGTAGACAGCTTTAATGGCGGCAACGCAGGTGTGGACTGCATTCTGGGAGCGGATGCGTGAGGAGGGTCACTTGGACGACAAAACGTGGACCTATGATGCACTTGAGCAGTACGACTTTGAACTTCGGACATTATTGTTGACTGCATGACCATTATTCAATCATCAAAGTCAGTGCGCAAATCGCTGGACATCTCAGTAAAATCGAGCTCCTCTAGACTTTCATAGACCTTGCTAAAGGAGTGGCTTAGCTTGTCGATGTGCTCCAGTAGAACATTTAAAATGCGGTCACTGTGATCGGCAAGAGCATCTGAATCGACCTTTCTTGTAGCTTTTTTACGCGTTCAAACACCGACTGTACCTTGAGCTTATAAAACCGCACGCGATCTTCGGGAGCAACTGTACTAGCATCTAAATTCGCCATGACGAGTACAGCACAAGAGTAACATGATAGAGTTCAAAGTTGTTGGTGCGAGCGCGATTACAAGAGTAATAGAAAATGTATGCTCTAGCGCAGACCCAAAACTTGGAATAAGTCTTATTTGTTGAGCACAGCACTTGCAACTTTGATAAACTGTCACAGAATTATATTATGGTACTCAAATAATATACGCTTATGAATTGTTGCACACCGGTACGATTATTATGGACGCGCTCGTATCGCAGCCGAGGCGAAAGAGTGCAATGTCAACAAAGAATAACGGCAAGCATGTAATTACATTGTGCTTATGCAAACTTAATCTTATAGATGGAAGCTATAGAACACAGTTCAAAAATTAGCTGATTCTTTATTAGCTTGTCATTTGCAGAAGTTTTCACATTTGCACTACTTTTATGAACGCCAGCGTATTGCAGACCGAACGAAAGAGTGTCTGGCGAATACGCAAAGTAACGGCACGCAACTAATTGCTATATACACTGCTTATGTTCACGGGTGTATGTATACATGTATATGATGCTGTCAATATATGCAAATAGGTAGAAAGAAAACGAAAGAGAATAACGTCGGGGTCACCAAATGTTGAGCTATCGAGATTTTTCGAATAGCTTTAAAGTATTAAACGATTGAATTTACTTAACGATTAGTTTATTAGTGATTATTAGAGTTTACAGAGTTTATGTGATAGATGCGAGCAAGCGACTAGGCTGTCGTGCTGTCCGCTACTATGTATGTAATAGTCGATCTAACACTGTATCTGCTCTAAACGAGAGTTAATTGCATGCTAAATTCAATGTACGCGAGCCGGCTGATTAAGCTGAGCCGCTGCGTGGGAGAAAGAGACAACGCAAAAGGGAGAGCGTGATCTCCGTTATAAATTCTCTTAAATGCTAACATTCTATGAACTACCGCTCTTAATTACAATGAAGCGATGATTGCTGAGCCCAACACTTAATATCACTATAAAATAAACTAAAAAAGTAACGATTTGCTAAAACCTTCTTAGCCAAGCCGCAATTATTCTGGGGAAAAGTATTATGGATGGACGATAGTTCCTTTGTGTATCATGGATAAAAAAAAAGCGATTTATAGCAGGTTGCCAAAGAATATTCGCAAAAAAAGAGTGCTATGTATGAACGGGTATAACATGGTGAAGGATCGGTAATGCTCTGGGGGCTCACATGTGTCAATAGCCTCTCCAATTTGATATTAATTAATGGAAAAATGAAGATGGATAATTATTTACGTGTCCTGAATGACCACTCATCGAATTCCGGTTACCGGCTCATTGGAAAATCATGTATACTGCAG